GCCAAGTCTCGAACAAATTCCTGTATGCTGAGCACATACTCAGCTGCACAGTGGCTCGGTAAGGATGGTCGAACTCCTGGAGCCCGCCCAGGAGAGACAGAGCCAGGGTTTTCAAGCATCTCTTTGCCTCACTGAGGAGACCATCTCCCAGGTGCAGGATAAAGCAGCAGGCTGGTCACGCGTCACGCCGCGTAGTGCCATTAGTGATATACTTTTCAAGAAGGATCAACAACGATGCAAGCGGCCGAGTATGCAGGGAATGTCTGGGCAGTTCCGCAGGCAAGATTGCAAATCCAAAAACACTTTACCGCAGCGTATTACCGAAAGCGACATGGTGTCCAAATGGGTGCAGTCAGTAGAAGCTACATCCAAAGCTTGGAGGCCTGGGCACACGGCGAGCTGCCTTGCGGAATGTGACACTTGGTTTTCGGTTTAAGACGGACAGAAACGATGCCAAACTGCATAAAGATGCATAAAGTCCCATATAGCGAATGGATTTAGGACTTCGAGTGCTTGGTCGCCAAAGTCGATTCCAGGCTGACGCAGCACGGCGCTCTGCTCGAGCTTCTGGAGCTGCCTCAGCTGTGGCCCGGCGGAGATCGCTCTTAGCTTCTCTTGGGCCTTTGTGCTTCTGTGGAGCGGCGAAGCACCTAGACGAGGCTAGATGCCTGTGTCCGGAATCAGATGTACGAAGAGTCCTTGGAGCTTCTTGTGACCTCGGCTGCACAAGGGCTCCCAGCCCGCCCAGCCCCAGCTCTGAGTCTGGGCTTCGGGGATCTTGGTGGCGACTGAGTGACGGCTTCATCATGGGGGCCCGTACGATGGCAAACATGTCTCGCCCCGATCGGTCGCTTGATGGCAAAATCTCGGCAGCACTCGCAGCTTAGGCTTTCTGCAAGAGCTTGTTACAAGCACATGAAGCTCGCGGAGAAGACATCCATGTTTTGACGCACATGAAGCATCAGGCCTGCATAGCTCTGCTAACATGGCACCATCCGCAAAGAGCATGTCCTCCTTCTGCCTTCCGAAGATTCGCAGAGTTTCCATGGGATGCCTGAGGTGGCTGTGCAAAGGACTAATCTCCGCGATTCCTTGGCGGCGCAGCTCAGAACGGAATCCCTGCAGCAACTGAAGGGTCAAACATCGCACATCAGGGACAGCCCCAACAAGCTTTCCCTCATTACTTCTCCCTCAACTGCATGCCTAATTAGGCCTGAATCGCCGAAAACAAAGTTCAGGATGGTTGCACCTGCGGGCTGCATACTCAAGATACATCCGGGTGTCGAAGGATAGCGGGTTTGAGAAGGTAGTAACTTCAGGCAGTGGGATCGTTCCGCCGTCCTCGGCATTCCTCGGCCCCTCTCGCACTTCCGAAACTGATGAATCTTGTGTGTGCCAGTGGCATGCATTACGGTCACAGTCCCCTGATGTCCCGAGCAGGGCCACACTTTGAGGTCTCACGTGCTCCCACCACAGTTTCTTCATGGAGTCCAAAGCAGTGTGCTCCTGGAATCTCCTGGAATGGTTCTTGACTTTGTAGGGCTTGGACATGCTTGGACTACTAGATGTTGTGTTCGCTGTTTGTGATTTGTGCTGGCATAGTCGGCATAGCTGCTTGAGAACTGTCTGGGTTTCATTCTTTGGGGTCCGGAGTCGGTTTTGCGAGAGTTGAGAAAGACACGAGCGGTGCGTCTTTGCATCCGCAGCCTCTCCCAGACCTAGTTCCGATAAGGACATCCATCTTCCAGCCTGCGTGCGCATTGTCGGCTTCCTGCGGCGAGTGCAGCGCCACTCCGAGGACTGACTTCGATGCTACTGTACACATTGGGAAGGGGTTGCACGCACACACACACACACACAAACAAACAAACAAACAAACAAACAAACAAACAAACAAACAAACAAACACACACACACACAAACAAACAAACAAACGAACGAACGAACGAACGAACGAACAAACAAACAAACAAACAAACAAACAAACACACACACACACAACAGGGCCAGAGGGCAATGCTCAATGTGGTGGTAGGCTGTCTTCCAGATATCGTACTGGTATCTTTGTTTTTTTTCAGGAAGCCGAATTCATGGAACACTTCGCCTTTTATCGACAACCGTCCAAGTAGGGAAAGTGCGGATCCGCAGACCCCATCAGAAAATGTACAATATTATTGTTACCGGTCACTCCAGTGCTTGTAAAGCACAGATGCCCGCAACTACAAATCAGGCAGGGGGCTATTTCTATTTCCGGGGCCTGTGGCAAGACTGTTGAGCCCGTAGCAAGTGGCCAGAGTTTCAATCATGGACAGTTTGCGCAGACGGCTCGGGCATTCGCAGCACCAGAGGAGTCAATCTTGGCGTTCAGACCCCCGATACGACACAGCAAGAGTTGATACACCCGTTCCGAGTGGCGGGCCATCAAGCCTCTGTCAAGGACATTGACGACTGCCGGCTTGTGTGCTATAAACCTGGCTTCTGGCACTGAGCTGGTTGTTTTGTTGGGCCTTCCGGACGAGCATGAGAAAGGCAAAGCATTGAGTCTCATAGACCAGCTCACACTAGATCAACTTTGAGCCATGCTGCCCTACTCGATTTGAGGGTTACTGCGGCTTTTCGTGGCAGATGCAGGATGTCCTGTGATATTCTGAAAGACCTTCAATCGGGAGTTTGCTTTCTCTTCGCTGGATGGAGGAAATCTTGCACCGCTGAGAACGCAAAACAGAGCTGTCTCACCCTGCAAGATTGCCATGAAAACATACGGCAGGGTAGTTGAGTGATGGCTGCCATTCCTTGGGTTAAGTAGGTGGCGTAAGATTTACCATGGCAGATGCAGTTTCTAGCTGCTTTCACCTGGGTCACTTCGCAGGAAGAACTTCGTGAACTCTTCATTGAGTGCCTTGGTATTCTTCGTCTGGGGAAGTGTCAGCATTACTGTACCCCGGACGCAGAGAGCTAAGGCATCGCAGCAAGTTCCTGGATACCCACAAGCAACAGGTTGAACTTCTTCGCCACAGCCGTGGCAGTGCAGGATCCTCAGCCCGGCTTAAGCTAAGTAAGCTGAAGGGCGGCTTGGCGATGTTGACGACGTGAGCCCTATCCGCTAAGCGAAGCAAAGTGTGGCAACAACCACTCTTTACAACTTTACAATTAAGCCGAACCGCAGAGTTCTTAACCCTCGAAGACTGCACAGCTCGTGGAGGTGGGGACGGCGCTGCGGAATGCAGCTGACCTGCTGCGGACGCATCTCGCCGGTGCAGTAGTGCCTCAGTGGCTTTTTCTCCTTTGTTCCGGACGATGCTTCTGGTATCTTCTGAGGCACGTATACGACATCGGCACACAGTACAAGGCAACGACAATGTGTGCATCCTATGAATCCTATGTCAGAAGACCGTCTTCAAACAGCTTCAGTCCGTTCGGCAGGCTCTTTTCCCACAAGACGACGGGCCCCTTGGGACTTGGCTCAACAGCCAGGTCACGTGCCCCGTCTGCATACTCAAAGGGCGCCGCAGGGTCAAAGTTCGAGGAGTGCAGTCGAGGTGCAGGCAAGCATTTGAGTCCATCATGTTGGGTTCGGCTTTGCATGGGTATGGCATGGCGTGGCTGAGGTGGTTGATGATGCTGCTGCGCCACCACGTGCTTCCCTCGAGTTCGAGCGCGAGTGACCCATGCTTGCAAGTGCGCGGGAAAATCTGGCACTCTGTTTGGCTCGGTTGGTGCTCTACTGGCACTGTTTCAGTTCTCATCGCCATGCGGTGAAACAGCCGAAACAGAACATGTCGATGTCCTTCCCAGAGATGAGATCATCCTGTGACTTATTGTCGGCAGTTCTCCTGGTTTGCGCAAAGTTCATGCGCTCGACATTGAACCTTGGCTAAGGGCAAAGGCTCTGCAACGACACTCAGCGTGCCTCGACTTGGCGAGTCCGTCCAATGCATGACACGGAGCACCGGTGCTTCCAAAGCGCCGTGCAGCGCGGTCCGGTCCCCGCTGGAATCTTCGCTTCAGGCCAAGATCGACGCTGCACAGCTGACGACTGTTCTTCGACAGTGTGTCCATGCATCGTCTACGCTGAAGCGATTAGGCAGGTGCATCAGCAGGCTTTAGCTTTGTTACACCGATATCATAGTGTTCATCACCTTCATGTCCTTCATTCATGGGCTCGCGATGTTGTATCCGGTTGCATTCACACTCTGTCCTGAGAGTCGATATGTGTGCAGTGACTTTGGAGAGACCTGAGCTTGCAGTGCAAGCCGCAGGTGGGCATTTCTTTCCAGCGGTGGCAGGGATCTTCGAGGCCATGCGACCAAGCAAATAACAGAACGAGCGAGAGAGACAGAGAGAGACAGATAGACAGACAGGCAGACAGACAGAAAGCAAGTGGCCTCGGACAGGTGGCGATTTGATGAACAAGGGAGATTTCCTTTCAGACATTCCGAGCGGGCGAGTGACGGAGTGAGCGTCCGTGCACAGATGCACATGGAATGCAAAAGTAACTGTACTGTTGGCGTCGACATGCACCGAAAAGAAGCGCCAACATGACTAAAGGAGTGTAGGTGGAATGACTCAATGGCAGTTGGCGAACGTGGCTAATTTGAAAAGCCACATGCCAAAAGTGCGCGCCAACATGCAAGAAGGTAAGCACCGACTTGGCAAGACTTGACTGCTGCCGACATGCCAACAACGCGGGCCGACATGCCAAAATGTGCGCCGACATGTCAAAACCAACCCCACGGATCTAGTATCTGCTTTTTTCCATCTCGGGCGCCTCTCAATGGGAGTTAGTTTGTCTCATGGCCAGTATTGCACCCGACAACAGCACCCGCTGCAAGACCTCAACTCCGAGCATCCCGATCTGTGAGACGTCATAGCTGCGCGTCCTGCGAGGCACGCATGGAGCAGTACTCCCGTGAGATGCTAGACAGCGCCCTGCTGACCTTCCATGCCGAGCTTGGGCGCTACGACTGGGTGCCTTCCACAGCCCTGGCAGGAGGCGGCGATGCTGACATGGAAGGACAGTCCGCACACCTGCATCCCGTGAGGCGCCAGCGAGGCGTCGGCGGGCTGGCTGCACCCACAGGCCAGGAAGGGCTTGGCATGTGTGGAAGTGTCAGCGCGGTTCCAGCGTCCAAGCAGCAATCATGCAGCTTGCAACTGCTGCCTCACGAGCTGTGCCATGCAGTGCAACGGAAGTTTCAGGCCTTAGAGCTCACTCGGCACCGCCCGTTGGCGGTCCTTACCAACGACATTGTTCAGGCCGGCATGTGTTTCCTTGTTTGCTCAGACGTTTACAACCAGGTTGATCTTCCCAACTTCGTCGTCGAGCGAGTCGTCGCATTCGTAGCAGCACGGGTGATAGCAGCAGCAATCGGCGTCGTAGTGGTGATGGTGGCACAGCGGCAGTGGCAGTGGGAGTGCTAGTAGGAGTAGGAGTAGGAATAGGAGTGGTAGTACAAGTAAGTACTGTAGTAGTGGTGGTACCAGTAGTGCTAGCAGTACTAGCAGTACTAGCAGTGCTAGCAGTACTAGTCGTACTACCCGTACTCGTAGTACTAGCTGTACTAGTAGCACAAGTAGTACTAGTAGGAGTAGGAGTAGGAGTAGGAGTAGGAGTAGGAGTGGTAGTGGTAGTGGTAGTAGTAGTAGTGGTAGTAGTGGTAGTAGTGGTAGTAGTGGTAGTAGTGGTAGTAGTGGTAGTAGTGGTAGTAGTGGTAGTAGTCGTAGTCGTAGTCGTAGTAGTAGTAGTATAGTAGTATTAAGTGGGAGTGGTAGTAGTGGTAGTGGTAGTGGTAGTGGTAGTGGTAGTGGTAGTGGTAGTGGTAGTGTAGCAGTAGTAGTAGTAGTAGTAGTAGTAGTAGTAGTAGTAGTAGTAGTAGTAGTAGTAGTTGTTAGAGTTAGAGTTAGAGTTAGAGTTAGAGTTAGAGTTAGAGTTAGAGTTAGTGTTCGTGTTCGTGTTCGTGTTCGTGTTCGTGTTCGTGTTCGTGTTCGTGTTAGTGCTAGTGCTAGTGCTAGTGCTAGTGCTAGTGCTAGTGCTAGTGCTAGTGCTAGTGTTAGTGTTAGTGTTAGTGTTAGTGTTAGTAGTAGTGGTAGTAGTAGTAGTGGTAGCAGCAGCAGCAGTAGTAGTCGTCGTAGTAGTAGTAATAGTGGTGGTAGTAGTGGTAGTAGTGGTAGCAGTGGTAGCAGTGGTAGTGGTAGTGGTAGTGGTAGTGGTAGTGGTAGTGGTAGTGGTAGTGGTAGTGGTAGTGGTAGTGGTAGTGGTAGTGGTAGTGGTAGTGGCAGTGGCAGTGGCAGTGGCAGTGGCAGTGGCAGTGGCAGTGGCAGTGGGAGGGGGGGGTAGGGGTAGGGGTAGGGGTAGGGGTAGGGGTAGTGGTAGTGGTAGTGGTAGTGGTAGTGGTAGTAGTGGTGGTAGTAGTAGTAGTGGTAGTACAGTAGTGGTAGTAGTAGCAGTAGTAGTAGTGGTAGTGGTAGTAGTAGTAGTAGTAGTAGTAGTAGTAGTAGTAGTAGTAGTAGTAGTAGTGTAAGCCTCTCGTCTCAGGTCAGGTCAGGCTAGCGGCTAGTACAGTTTGCCTCTTCCTTACTTGCCATGTTATTTGCCAGCGCCTGAGCTGTCATAGCTGTCCCGGCCCCAAGTCCGGGAGGGAACCATTCGCTTTACTGTACAGTATGCACTGAGAGGTCACAGGGGTGAGGGTTGTCGGTTCTGCGATGCCGACAGGAGCAGTACTGAACATCAGTTCAGCGAAACAGCCCAGTGATTTGACCACGACAAGACAGCATGCTCCTAAAGGGAGTGTAAACGATCTTACCAAAAAGGCAGTCCGTAAGGCCTTTCAGAATGGTAGTGTGCAGTACTAAATGACAATCACACTATTAGGAGGTGCTCCAGCATCGCCAGCTCAGCCCAAGCAAACAACTCGAGGGAAATCAACAGGATTCTTTGATCAAACCAGGGTGAATTATCTCACATGGAATTCAGGTTCGTTGACGACGGCTGTGTGGGAAGAGTTACTCTCCGTGCTTAAAACCTCGGACTGCTAGCACGTCAAGAGATTAGCCATACAGGAAACTCACTGGCGTGGTAGCTGGCAGTTCTCCAAAGGTGATTGGCCCGTTCTGAGCTTAGGCTCCACAGGTGTGAAGGGAGCGGGGGTCCGAGTGATGATTCATCAGTTACTCTGCAAGGCGAGTGAAATTCGCTTCAATGAGCTGCAGCCAGGTCGGTTGCTGCACGCGCGAATCCCGGAACAGAGGTGTCCATGACGTGTTCAGCCGTTACCGTTACCAGTGCGTCTCGAGATCCAAGCAAACACTTGAAGCGAATAAGAAACTACGCACAGTCTTCCTTAATACCTTGAGTAAATCCTTGCGGGGCTCCCAAGCCGAAACGCACTGTTAGTTCTGGGAGATTACAACATGTCTCTTCGTACGGACCGGAAGCATGTAGGACCCTGCACCCTGAATGTCAGCCGATTGGGGCGCAGAGGCGCTAACACATGGGGAGTCAAACGACCTGCCTCTCACAGTCAAGGCAATTCGGTCACTCAGATTGACTATGCACTCATTCGGATGAGTCAGGCGACAGGTCCGGGAAAGCGTGCCAGCCCAAAAGACAATTCCCGGTAACACAATGGAGGGACGGCAGCCGTCGCTACCCTATTTTAGGAGGCCTACATCATAGCAGGAGATACTCCGCTTCAGCAGTTCCTTTCTACAATCAGTCAACCGTGGAAGACAGTTATAGACTAAGAGACCCCAAAATCAACGCCTTCACTGACTCCGTTGACCACTGAGCTATCCTGGGTCTCGCTGAGCTCCACAATGGACCAGGCTCTACGAAGTTGCTTTCCACTCAGCACCGCTTCCGGCTCACAGGTCGGGAAGGCCTCGGGTAGCGGACACCCGGTCCAGCACCCCCCTTCCTGGGGCGCGTTAGCAGGGTGCTGGCAGGAGTCGGCCAGGATTGCAGCGAGCCACTGGCACATCCTAGCGGGCCACTTCTCAGAGCCTGAGGTCTTGAGGCCTTTAGCAGCATTTTCGTTGTAGCTGGGCATGCCTTCGTAGACAAAGTCTGGCATAGCAGTTGTCTTGAGTAGCAACCTGGTCGGCTTAGCGTGCGGGGTACCGAAGCTCGCCTGGTGAAAAGCTAGCCACCGTCCGTAGCCCCTTTTGCAGAAGGTCGGCTAGCGGCGGCCTGAGGACATCAGCTTATGGGAAAGGTCCTTGAGGTGTTGGCGGACCTGCGCTCGAACTTGAAAGTCCGCATGGTCTGGCGATGCTGGCAGGCAATGGCCAGCCAAAGCCGCCAAGCCCGCACAGCTAAACAAAGGAAGCAACGTCAGGGACAGGCCGAGATAGACGCACAGCTCCTTCAAGCAGCCTCCAAGTCTAAGCAGTATGGTATTCACTCCTTGTTCGAGATCATCAAGAAATTCAAGTCCGGAAAGCCAACAGAGCAAGTGTGCAGCTCAGTAAAACGGTCATTTCCTGAATTCTCAGGAGGAGAGGGTTCAACTAGAGACGTACTCTAAAGACCTGTTTGGTAGCGGTCAGGATTTCTCAGTGACAGGAATCACGGGATGATTAGAAACTTCTGCTGCCGAGGTCAGAGATCAGCTGAAGACTACTGAGGTTGGCAAAGCAGTCGCTAGAGGCTGCCCACCGGTTGTAGCTTGCAGATCTCTTGGTCCAGAGGCGCATCAGCTTTTGGCAGATCTCTTGAACCAGGGCGTCAGTCGGTCGGAGCTTTCTACAGCAATCACATCCTCCAAGATATCATAGCTGCTTAAACCCCCTCAAGACGCTCGATCCCCCGTCATCCCTCAGACCGATAGGGGTAACTGCACCCGAGGGCAACATTCTTGCTGGTCTCGTGCGACAACGCTTGAAGAGCTCAAGCAGGCCATGTCGGGTGTCACCCAGTCCGGCTTCGTCCCGGCAAAGCGAATGAGGAAGCCATCTGCAAATCTCAAACGCACATGGATGAAGCAAGAGATCGCTCGCAAAAAATTTCAGAGGGAAGCGGGACAGGGCAACAAGGGAGTAAAACTGCGGGGAAGCCTCACTTAAAGCGTGGACATGAGCAAAGCTTTTGATACAGTCGACCGAGTCCGTCTACGCGAAGCACTTGAAGCAGCCTCGGCAGACCCACTTCTTATAGAAGTTGTTGGGTGTCTCGACATACGAGCACTTTATCAGATGATTACCTCGGATCACACCTTAGCACAAGGCTGTAAACTGGCCCGGTCACTATGCGCCTTTGCCACAGGATTGCTATTTCGCAGGTCGGCAACAGTTAGGCAAGTCAGCTAGCCAAGCTTCTAACGATGTACGCGGGTGACAGCTTGCTACAACAACACGTCGCTGACTTTACTGAGCTGCAGGAAGCCCCAGAGCTCTGCGACATACTCTTGGATCAGCTGGTGGAGCTTGGCTTCACGGTAAGTCAGCCGTTCTGCTCCAGCTTCAAGGAGGCTCTGCTCAGACGGTCGGAGAGAAGCAAATACGCAAGGTAGATGGCGTCAAGTGTGTGGAGCTGCCTGCAGGCAGGCTAGTCAGCTAGTCTCACAGCAAAACCAAACTCCGTATGTTGGCGTTATCCTCTCATACCAGGATTATGAATCCAAGACTCTTCATCATCGCATGTCGGCCAGCAAAGCCACAGTGACGGAAGTGGCCATCTCGACAGGCAGGCGAAAATCGGTATGGCGCATCACCGCGTGGGCTTCTGCCATGTGTGGCTTGCATGTGGTAGGGTTAGCACAACACGGCTTGCTAAGCTCTTACATATCAATTACGGTTCGTCCTGAGGAGCTAATTCCAGGACACCCGCGAGTCGAAGCCCAGGAGCTACTCCGGCGACACCGCGTGCCCACAGCTCAGCAGCAACTGCAGGAGAGATTGCAGAAGTTTGCGAAGCGACAAGCGCAAGCGGACTCAGCCCTGACTCCGCTGTACTTACCAGAAAGAATAGCAGCGCAACTAGCCCACGTACATGTCAGCGGAAGCGCAGGCAGACAGCCTGGTGACCTGCTCAGAGTGCGGTGCCATTTTTGTAGGCACAGGTGCACCGCGAAGGCGCTTACAGAAGTCCCATCCGGAGTCGCGTGTTACGCAAGGGGCCTCCCTTTGATCTTGCCAAGCGCTCTTATGCAGGCTCGACTACCTGCGTAACTTGTCACCGCAAAAATTGCCTCGCACTGCTACCTCCGAGAACATGTAAAAGCCTCTACATGGCACAAGGTGAGCTTACTATACATCGGCAGCCGGAAGAACTTCCCTCTGAGGTCCAAGTGGCCCCAGGATCAGAAGGAGTAGCTCACGCAGGCAACCGTTAAGGATCCGGAGGAAGCGGCCAAGCGCCCAGCTTTTCACACAAGTCTCATGGAGAGTTGCGCACTCTGTGGACAGACAAAACCATTAGC